GTTCTTCCTTCATCCTCCATCCTTCTCCTGGCCCGGGGCTTTGCTGAACCCTGCTGCCATCCAAGGCACACAAGAGGAGCCATGTGAAAGGCTCCTTTGGGAAGGCCCCTCTAACCCCAGCCTCGTGTGCCCTGGGGCAGCCACAGTTCCAGGCACAGCTGGAGCAGATGTGTCAGATGTGTCCTGGCACCTCAGTGCCCACTGGAGAATCCGTGCCCTGTGTGCCCTGGAGCAGGCATCCTGCCAAGGAGAGCCCTGCCAGAGCAGGGCCAGCAGGCAGAGGGGTGATCTGGGACATGAGATGAGATAAGATGAGATGAGCAGGGAGGGGAAGGGGCTGGAGCTGCAGTGAAGGCTCAGCTGCAGCAGCCCTGGACAGCCACACACACATTCCCAGTGGCACTGGGAGCCCACAGATGCTCAGCACAGCAATGACTCACGCTGGAAGCTCCCAGGGCTGCTCCAGTCACTTGCCAGCAGCCCAAAAGGCTGCACTGGAATGTGCACAGTGCTTCAAACAAGGGGCCAGAATTATTGAGCATGGAAGGTTTTAATTAAGGTTGTTGAGTCCAGCCATCCTCCCAGCACTGCCAAGTCCATCACCAGAGCACTTCCCCAAGCACCACATCCCCTTGTTTTTCAGATATTCCAGGGATTCCTTCCCTGGGCAGCCTGTCCCAGTGCCTGACAACCCTTGCAGTGATGAAATTTTCCTCATATCCAATCTAAACCTCCCATGGTGCAATCTGAGGCTTCTCCTCTTGCCCTACCTGAGCACACACCTGGCTCACACTCAGCCAGCTGCCAGCCAGCACCTCCAGGCTCTTCTCACAATTTTCCTTTGAATTACGGGGCTTCATTCTGCTCAGCTGAGGCCATTTAGCACCTCAGCCTCTTCCTCATCCTTTGTCATGGTGTTTCCCCCACATCCAGTGAAGAATGGAGATTCTCCTGAGCTCTCCTTTTGTTCATATATCCATATACAATGCCTGCTCATATGTGAATTTCTTGTAAATGAACGAAATTGTTTCTGTTTCAGGGTTTAATGGTGTAGACATCCATTGCTGGTGCCTTCCTCCCAGAGTGTCGGTGCAGTTTGTACAGCTCAGTCCCTGCAGACACAGATGTGACCTCCTGTAGACATGCACAATTTCCCAAGCACCCACAGCAGTGGCATGTGCCATCCCAGCTCTGCTCCCGCCTCAATTATCAGTCAAAAGGATAAACAACTGGCATGAAAAAATCCTGACCCACAAGCAAAAACCTCTGAATCCTTGTGAGAACTGAATCCATGCTCTCTGCTCGGGCTGCAAGGTTTTGAGGTCGGCAGGCACCACTGCCACTCTGCTGAGCTCTGCACACCCCTCTGACCCAAAACTGCCAGGGCAGGGTGACCCAGATTCTGAAATAATTAATAACATCCTCCCTGCTCATAACGTGTGACCGCTGCTGTCTGTTCCCATCGTGGGCACGGGCTGGCTGTGCTGTGCTGCAGGCAGACACGCTCCACATGGCTCACACTTCCCAGGCCTGACTCACGCTGTACACGCACACTTTACTTTTGTTTTTCAATCACAAGGGAGTTGATTTCACTGACATCCCTTGGCAGCATATGGTGCTAGCAGACAGAGCAGGGATCTGCACAGAATTGCAGCGGCTTTGTTGCTTTCCCCCACGTGCTAATGATACCAAACACAGCCTGGGAATGTAATTACTGTTTGCATGGGCATGCAGGGACTCCCAGACAGGGCTCCAAACAGCCACAACAGCCCCAGCCCAACAGAATGTGCACATGTGGCACATGAGAGGGGAGAGGCGGCTGTGACACGGCCTGAAACATCAGCACAACATCTGGAAGCTCTCTTCCCCAGCCTGCCTCTCTATCAGACAGATGGCTGCAGGGCTGTAAGCCACAGGCCTCTCCAAAGGTTCAAGGCCAAGAGGATAAAGTCCTCCATCACAGCACTTCTCCATTCTGGCAGTGTTTCTAAATCTCTCTGCTCTCCCCCACTCTGTTTCTGTGCCTGGCTGACAGAAATCCACAGTGCTGGGTGATCCAGCTCCCCTGTCCAGGGGCACAAATGCAGCTGGTCCCAGGACAGCCCGGGTGTGCAGCAGCACGAGGAGCCAGGCCTGGGTCAGACTCACCACAGGATGCTCTGGGGCTTTGGCTCTGGCACAGAGGCCAGCCTAAGAAACTCCCTGAGCCCTCCTTGCTCCCACCTGCTCCTCATCCCCACAGCAAGCCAGAGCTCTGCTGCACTGAAATTTGACATTTTAAAAAACAAACCCCACAAATACCCCTTGCTGTGCCTTGGAACAGCTCTCCTGCCTGTGGGGCAGCCAGAATAGATACCCAAAAAGCAGGAGCCCTTCCACAGGGGTGGTTCTCAGCTGAGAGTGGGACCTCACAAACCACACCAGCCTGAGGCTGGACCAAACCAGGCCATACTGAGAGATGGTTCCAGGACTGACCAAAAATATCCTTTTTTGTCTACCCCAAGCACACCCAGCAAACCTCCAGAAGCAGAAGCAACAAAGGAAAACAAGCAACCAAGCAGTTGTGTAAGCCTTGTTTTCACTAATCAGCACTGTTGTTATCCTCATCAATAGCTACTTAAGTCTCAGCAGAAACTGCATTATGAGGCACACAAACATTGCTGATTTCAAGCTGTTTGCAGTTACTTGCCATAGTTGCAAAGCCTTTTTGAATAATTTTAAAGTAAACTCTGGCTCCTGGCTTGAGCACCACAAAGTATTTCTTAAAAAAGTAAAGAAGCATGACCCACTTAAATTCTCAAAGGTAATGGTAAACAATTACTGATGTGATGTATCTAAAATATCTCTTGTGTTCTATTATTTATATAATGTGAAAGGTGTATTAGCTGCTGCTGCATTCAGAGTCAAACTGCTTCTTTCAAAGTGCTTACAGTGTAATTATATCCACACACTAATGACAGAGAAATGTGCAAGAAAGGAAGACCTGGAAACAAAAATCAGTATTTTTACTGAGTCTGGGCACTTGTCTCTAGGGTGTGAAGGGGAGAGAGTGCAATGGTTCTCCCTGGTGCAGCAGGGAGGTTTCTGAGCAAACACAGAGGAAAACTCCTTCTATACATCAATTAACCAATGTATTTGTGAGCTGGCTGAGCTGGCTGCAGGGAGGATGAGGCAGTGCTGGAGCTCCAGAGCTGCTCTCACAGCACCCTGACCTCAGTACAGAACTGCACATCCCCTCTGTGACCCACCCTGCTGCACCAGCCTGGAGGAGCTGGGGGCAGCACAGAAAATTCCCATTAGGGACACACAGTCCTCCACCAAATTAAATCAGCCTAATGGAGTACCTGTGCTCTGTGCAGAGGGCTCCAGGTGACACCCAGAGACCCAGCAATGCCCATTTCACCGTGTGCTTCCCTCAGGTTTCCCTACCCAGCTCCTCCCTGCACACAAACATTGCACTTAAACCAGGGCTCATCATGCTTTCAGAAGACAGCAACTATTTACATGCACAAGTGAGAGAGGCATTAATTAAAACATTGAGTTTTATTTGCATAATTAGTGCCAAAAATATTTTTATGGGTTAATTAGACTTCATGCAAATTGGATTGAGGAGATTTAATTTGGGGTTTGATAACCTGACTATTATAGTTCTGCAGTTGCAAATCTGCTCAGAGCTACACGCTGCTCTACAGCTACATCCTCCCTTTCAAACTGGTGGAGTTTTTACTCCTGACAGCCCCAAATGATGCTTTTCCTTTCCCTTTACCAGTCCTGAGATAGGCTGACCCTGGTAGGATTCCAGGTACCCACTAAAGCAGCTCCATCTCTCCCCTCCTCAGCTGGACAGGGAGGAGAAAACAGAATGAAAGCTCAGGGTTGAGATAAGGACAGGGAGAGATCGGTCACCCAGAGGAAATACCCTGAGTCAGACCATCAGCTCATCAGGAGCTGCTTATGGCCAGAGGAGTTTCTGACTTTACACATGTCCAGTATTTGGGCACAGAACAGAGAAGTTAAAATCAGCTCAGGTTCTCTGTGCCTGAAGGTTTGGTACAAAGCAACAACCAGCCCAGCACCCAGCAAGGACTTTGTGGTGCTCCTCTGTGAGCCCAGGTTTGTGATAACATTGTGATAACAATAATCACAGAGCTGGGGCTGTTTGGATCTGTGCAGTGGGAAATTCCCTGCATGGGCTAATGTACAGCAGCGTTGTGAGAATTCACCATGATTCCTGGGGAGAGCAATAGGATTTGCACTGAAAATACACAACTTTACTGTGTGCCAGCCCTGCTGATGGAGCAAGCCCTGCTCCTGCTGTGGGACAGCCAGAGCAAGCCCCTGCAAGCACAGCACACAGGGAGGCAGGGGCAGCCCAGCTCATCCCCACAGCTCTGCCTCAGGCAGGCACCCAGCAGGCCAAGGAACCTCCTCTGGAAGAACCGAACCCAGTGTTTGGCACAGAGGATTATTCTGTGTTACCCACTGGGAGGTTTGAGTTACCCTGCACAGAACTCCCTGCTTGCTCCATGAGCCAGCCCCAGAGGCTGTGCTGCATTCAGAGACACAAGGTCAAAATTACCAAGCCAGAAAGAGTAAAGGTTCAGTAAAGCCTTTGAATTAATATTCATATTGCTGCTAAAATGACACCACCCCCCCAGCACCAGTGTAGGTTCATTCCATTAATTTTTTCCTTTGAAGTGCCAAGTTTTATTGCCCATTGCAGGTCAGCAGATGGTAGCACAGCTACCCTGAGTGCCTCCACATTTCCAGGCTGCAGCTTTAACAGCTGTGAGCAGCGCTGACACGAGCCTTAAGCCCTTCAAGCCCTGAATGGTATCATGGACATAAATGAGTTTAATGTGCCGAGAAGAGGAGGTTCCATACCTGTTCCTTGAGCTGGGGGCTATCCTCTGGCACAGGACTGTGGTGGTGGAGTGCTTGCCACCATTGCCCACCTCCTGCTTCACGTCCCACTGCCGCGGGTCGCTGGTCCTTGCGCCCAGGATGTTCACACCCTTCTTCACCTTTGCCCTGTGGGAAACAGCAATGGGAAAGGGTTACAAACTCATGCAGGGCTCTCTGAATGCAGCTCAGGCACGGGCATCTCAGCAGAGCAGTTTAAAGGTAAGTGTCAGGTGTGCCTCTAATCCAGCAGTAAACAGGAGAGTTTATTATGAATGTGGCAACATCACGTTGTTTGGACAGGGCCTTTCTACTGCTATCTTCTGCTGGAGTTAGGGGTCAAACTGAACCTGTAGGAAAACCTGCACTCAAGGTTCTTTCCTCTATTCAGGCAATATTGTTTCCCCCAAATAAAAGCTTGTCCCAACACAGAGGACTCTGGCATGTTTGTCTGCATCAAGAAAAAATTGTGCCTCACCACTGCACAGAGGAACACTTCACTGGAGAAATATTAATAACCCACATTTATTCCAGATGAAATCCTTCTAGGTATCACTGGACAGGCTGTTGCACCTCTGCTTGACAATTTCCTCTTTGCTGCACATTCCCAAGGAAATTTCTGTTTGAAATCTCCAGCCCCGAGAGAATGCAGCTGTTGGTTGAGACAAGACTCTGTAACCCCGTTCTTACAGGATGCAGCTTTCTGCCACTCCCAGCTGCCATGCCCTGTGGAAAAGATAACTGTATTTATCTAGTGATGCTAATAACATCAGCAACAACTGCATGGAAGGTTAATTACAGAACACTTGCTAATTAAAGAGCATTTGTACAAAGGATTCTCAGCAGAGGTGTTGTTTGGGTGCAGAATGCTGAACTGCTGATGCTCAGCCCAACCACAAAGCACCAGGGATGGGGCAGATGAAGAGTTCTGCAGCCCTTCTTTTGTGAAGTCAGTGAGGGACAGAAGGATGGTGAGGATGTGGGGAGGAGGAGGCCCCAGCCCTGGCAGCAGCCTGGCCTCACCCTCAGAGGAAGAAGGGCAAGGGCAGCCTGACTCCAGCTAACATCACAGAGGCTGCATCACAGTAAAATCAGTTTTCTAAAATATTTATGCAACACAAAATGCTTGCTACTGGGCAGAAATCATCATCCAGCAAGACGCTGGTATCTTCTTGACATTTATGAGGACTTGGCACCTAAGTTTCTTTAAAAAACTTGGCATCTTCAGCCAATAAAATACTCAAAAGCTTTAGCTAGGAATGACTGAGAGTACCTGTCTTCTTGCATTTTTTCAACAAAACACAATTAATTTAAGGTATTGAAAAAGAAAAGTTGGTGTTTTTTTCTTCCCAGTATAAAAGCATAAAAGATTAATTCTCTCATTTGTAACATGAAACGCCATGGAGCTTTAGAGAATGCTGTCTTGCTCCTGCAGAAGTAGCCTGATGAATCTCTCGTGCCTTCAGCTGAATTACTCAGAAGCAAAAACAGAAAGGCAAAGGAAGAATCAAATTCATTCCTGAAGGTTCATTAAAGCTTTAAGTCCCATTAGGTTTTGCAGTGTATTACAGTTCAGACAAATGAACAATAAATAAATGTTTCAGTATTTATAAAACACCCCTGCCAATCCTGAAGCTGTGTAAATCCATCAGTATTTCTTACGGCAATCTGTATTTCAGGAGATCTTTGGATGTACTTTAGGAGGCTGCAATTTAGCAACTGGAGAGAAGTAAAACCTCATTGTTTATACTTTGTTCGTTGAGACAGGCTCTGAAATGACAGAACACCACTCAAAATGAGGCTCCCGTGCTTGGATTTCCAACAGGATTCCAACTCTGTCAGCAGCTGCAAACTGCTCTCTCCACCGTGGAGCGTGGCACAGTCAATACCTGGGCTCCTGTTAATTAGGATGGACATGTGGCTGGAAGGCCAAGGTTAGTGGTCACATACACTGCCAGAGGACCAGAGCAGGGCTGCAATGCCATTTTGTTAATTAACTACACAATGGGGCATTAAGTTGAGTGGTTTGCACATATGCCATTATATAAAGCCCATTAAAAAAAAATTCCATCCCAGGGTAAAGTAGGTTATGTTTAGTGAGAAAAATCAATGTTGTGATTGCACTTAGGACTGGAATGAGGGTATGAACACCCAGAAGATTGAACTTCCGAAATAAATATGCAGAAGCACAATTTGCAACTCTCCCTCTAAAAAGGGCATTGAGTTTTACATAACAAGGTCAATGGATGAATCAGAATTAAGTCAGACAGAACTCAGCCCCACACATTTCCAAATGCAATCTGTACATATGCTACAAATGTTTTCACTCCAATTTTTATTTACTTGGTGTTTGAATGCTAGCAAGGAAAAGTCTATTTAATTACTTACCAAAGATTTGTTGACCTTGTTGGATGCTTGTGATTAAATATTCATTTTTTTTAAATCAATAGTGCCAACTTTGTACATTAAAAATCTGTAAGTTATACTACCTCAATAAACCCCAAGACCGAGGACCTGGAGGCCAAATGACTTGACAGTCTACTGTATTTACCCAGCTAACCTCATAGTATTTATAAATGCACTGTGTTTACTTGAGGGTGACAATAAATGGGGAGGACAAACAGCTGATGGGGTTCCCCACTGCAGCTGGGAAGTTCTTTGCTGTTCCTGATTATCCACAGGTAGATGTAGATGGTTTTCCTCACACAGAGGCTTTTCTGCACTGCTCCATGGCCTGCAAGCATCTACCAGCCATGAACTGTCAGCTTGGACTTCCACCCAAAGGGGAGCCAAAATCTTCCACTCCAACGTTATTCTAAACAACCTCCTGGGAGTGTCACTAAATCTAAAACTGAAAATGCACAAAGCTAAAAATGCACAGAATTAAAAAATGCATAAAACTAAAAATGCATAAAACGAAAAATGC